TCGTAATGGATACTTAAGCCCATGCCAGACAATTGTCTGTGCAGGTCCACGTCTTCGAATAGCCCCCATATAACGGTAAATATATTCGGTATTTTAATGATTTTAACTACATTATAAACAGATTTTTCTTCAAGTTTCACATTTAAATTATTGTAATAACTTATGACAAAAGTTGCCTATGAAGGCCCACGTCGTCGTATAAGCACTCGGTATTCTTAAGATTTTAACAGAATTTTTAACGGATTTTATTTTTTGGAAATTGCCAAATTTGTACCAAATGGTGGAGGGTATTAAAAGTTCGGCCCGGCCGAACTTACAGCTTTTTTACTTGTTTTTTTTTTTTTTCTGGTAGTTGACGCGTTGGAAAGCCTTATTTATCGAAATAGTTAAGCAAAGGCTATTGGAAGATAATGCGTTTGTTGGTGTGAAGAAGTCGAACAAATTCCGTGGTGTGTGTTTCCGCAGTAAGAAAACGGGCCATTCGTTTAAATGTTGCGAAAGACACTGAAAATCTTTTAGCTTACAAGAAAGGTGCAATCACAGGATATTGGAAATTTAAAGGACTTCGGGACAACTTGCTGTCTGTGCTAAAGCTAACAGAAAATTGTATATATTGCAATGCCAATTCTGCAATTTTCCTCTGTATAGAGGAGCCTAAAGCATATGACGAAATCAAGAGAGGTTCCTTTAAAGATAATTAGATTAGAGCTGTGAAGGAAGAAGAGCTTGAGAAAGAGAGTATTGAAGAAAATCCTGTTTGTGATCTTTTCCACGCTCTGTCAACCATAAAATGTTGAAGTCCAAATGGGCATATCGCATCAAAGAGGTTTCAAATGGTAATCCCGTCCGATACAAAGCCCGACTAGTAGCGAAAGGGTTCCTTTAGAGCGCGGGAATTGACTATTAAGAGACCTATTCTCCGGTGGCGTAACTTAGTACAATTCCGATAAGTTAGCGGTGAGCGTTAAGAGACATTTATATTTGCAACAGCTTGATGTAAAAGCTGCATTTCTTTACGGAGAATTAAAAAAAAAAGATATTTATATTGAAGTTCCTGATGGATTAAACGCTCCTTAAAACCAAGTATGTAAGTTACGAAAGTCGCTTTATGGACTCAAACAAAGCCCAAGATGCTGGAACTAAACATTTAACAATTTCTTGCTCCAACTTTAAGCTTTAAGAAATCTTTAAACGATCCGTGTCTTTATACAATGTTTTAAAGAAGTTCGGTTTTGTACTTGCTACAATATGTGAACGATGTATTGATTGCGGGAAATGATTTGAAAGCAATAAACAAGGTAAAATCGGATCTACGTGCATCAATAAAAATGTCGGATTTTTTTCTGCTCCTTTCGATTATTTTAATTTGGGCAAACCATTTTTAAACACCTTTTTGGAAATTATCAACCTAATTGATTATCGGGATTTTAGATTCGCGACGGTTTAATGATCTACCACAGGTGGTAAAATATATGGTTAAAATATTCAAAATACGGAGAATTAAAAAAAAAAAAGATATTTATATTGAAGTTCCTGATGGATTAAACGCTCCTTAAAACCAAGTATGTAAGTTACGAAAGTCGCTTTATGGACTCAAACAAAGCCCAAGATGCTGGAACTAAACATTTAACAATTTCTTGCTCCAACTTTAAGCTTTAAGAAATCTTTAAACGATCCGTGTCTTTATACAATGTTTTAAAGAAATTCGGTTTTGTACTTGCTACTATATGTGAACGATGTATTGATTGCGGGAAATGATTTGAAAGCAATAAACAAGGTAAAATCGGATCTACGTGCATCAATAAAAATGTCGGATTTTTTTCTGCTCCTTTCGATTATTTTAATTTGGGCAAACCATTTTTAAACACCTTTTTGGAAATTATCAACCTAATTGATTATCGGGATTTTAGATTCGCGACGGTTTAATGATCTACCACAGGTGGTAAAATATATGGTTAAAATATTCAAAATACCGAATATCGGTAAATACAGTTATTTGAGAATTATTCGAGAATGTGAATCTACATTGTCCATTTACAATCTAATAGCCTAAACGGTGAATAATGTAGCTAAAATCAGCAAAATATCGTATATAGGGAGGTACCATTGTCATATCAAGACAATTTTCTGTCACAGCATCCATTACTAACGTCAATTACGATATCTCAAACAACTTCGGTGGGTATGGTACCTAAACGCATCAAAATACCGAATTTTGGGAGGTACTGATATATGGGGCCTATACGAAGACCTGGACCTGCATAGACATTTTTCTGTCACATACTGTAGTTCCCATTACGAACTCTAAATACGTAATTTGAAACAATTCCGGTGAATAATGGGGCAAAATCATCAAAATCCCGAATTTTGGGAGGTACCGTTATATGGGGGCTATACGAAGACGTTGACCTTCACAGACAATTTTCTGTCATAGGCTGTAGCATCTATTACGAATCTCATATACCAAATTTGAAACAATTTCCGTGAATAATGTTGCTAAAATCGTCAAAATACCGAATATAAGAAGGTGCCGTTAAATTGGAGCTGTGCGAAGACCTGGACCAGCATAGACAATTTTCTGTCACAGGCTGTAGCATCAATAACGAACTTTAAATACCACATCTCAAACAATTTCGGTGGGTAATACTGAATATAGAGAGGCACTGATATATGGGGCCTATACGAAGACATGGACCCGCACAGACAATTTTCTGTCACAGACTGTAGTTCCCATAACGAACTTCAAATACCAATTTTGAAACAATTTCGGTGAATAATGTCGCTAAAAACATCAAAATACCGAATATAGGGAGGTGCCGTTATATGGGGGCTATACGAAGACGTGGACCTGCACAGACAATTTTCTGTCTTAGGGTGTAGTATCCATTTCGAACTTCAAATACCAAATTTATAACAATTCCGGTGAATAATGTCGTTAAAATCATCAAAATACCGAATATAGGGAGGTACCGTTATATGGGGGCTATTTGAAAACGTGGACCTACATGGCCCATTTACGAACTTAACCTGCCTACTGGTAAAATAAACATGTGTGCAAAATTTTAGCCATCTATCTCAATTCATTCGAAAGATATCGTGATTACAACCGACAGACGGACAGACAGACAGACGGACATCACTAAAACGACTTCGAATTTTACGCTGATCAAGAATATATATACTTTGTTGGGTCTGACATGAGTATTTCGAGGAGTTACAAACGGAATGACAAAGTTAATGTACCCTCCATAGTATGGTGGAGGGTATAAAAATCAGAAAATTAAATACGGAGAGCACGCCGTAATCAAAACGGTTTACCAAAACCTAAAACTAAATCACAAAAATATTAGACAGCATATCAAAAAATATAGAAATAAGTGCAACAAACAACAAAACACCAACTCCACAACAATATTTCTATACAAATACAGAAGATCTGAGATAGCGCAACACTTTATAAAAAGAACTCGACCAAAAAAACATTAACAAAATATTTGACACAAACGAGCAAGTACCAGAACAACTACGAAATAGATTAAAGGTTAACATAGGGAATTTTAATAAAAAAGATCTTAAACATCAAAATCTCACAAAGTGCAGAAGTTGTACCGTTTTATGGAAGTTGTACTCACAAGTGAACATATATAGAAAATTTTCTGCTAAAGGGGTTGTTATGTATGACGTGTTTCAAATATAAAATTTGAGAAAGTTTGCCAAGAATTATAAAATATAAAATATCAAGAAGTGCCGTTATATGGCGACTATAGGAAAAAGTTTATCTTGGTATTGTAATAGTGAAAAGTCGGGGAATTTGTTTTTGGCTGCCAGTTATTAACAACACTTTTATAAAAAATAAATAGCCACCACGTTTATTATAAGAGGTTATGGGCGATATCAAGCAAAAGTAAATCCACAGAATCTTGCAAGTTTTCGAGTGCGGATGTATCTGGATTCTTTGGATTTACTGGATACCATAGAGAAAACTCCACCAGCCGAACAAAACTTAACTAACTCAGCCCAATAGCAGATGATTTTTTGGAATGTGTTTCCGACAAGAAAACAGCGAAGGAGATGTGGTCTGCTCTGCAAAATACATTTGCTAAGAAGTCTGTTACGAGTCAGACATTGGAAAGAAAATAATTAGCCGTTCGGTCCTGGTGATGATTTGCGAAAACATTTATCATTTTTTGATGAGCTTTCACGAAGATGAAAAATGTCTGGGGCAAATGTGGATAAAAGAGATGCCGTTGCTCAATATTTTTTTTTTTTGTTTTTTTTTTTTTTTTTTTTTTGTTCTGGTAGTTGGCGCGTTGGAAAGCCTTATTTATCGAAATAGTTAAGCAAAGGCTATTGGAAGATAATGCGTTTATTGGTGTGAAGAAGTCGAACAAATTCCGTGGTGTGTGTTTCCGCAGTAAGAAAACGGGCCATAAACAAAAGAATTGCCGCGTTCGTTTGGAAAATGAAAAAGCTAATGCAGCGTCAGCTTCGAAGCCAATTTTTCATGTCAGCGGTCCCTAATGATAAGATAATTAAAGATAGTGTTCATAAAAGATGCTAGTTTTTTGCGCAACAGTGTTGTTTGTTACATTACCGGTGGCTGCATAAATAACATCATAAAAAAAATGATGTACATATACACACACACATGCACATATATGCAGCCACCGGTAAATTCCAATGCTGAATTCAAATAAATAAGCATCGTCACCAGCCAAAACAGGTTTGCTGTGACGATGCAAATTGGAGTTAGAGCAGTTCAAGATCGAATTTAAAAGCGCGTACGCAAGTTTCCCCCCCGAAGTGAACAGTGCCCAAAAACAAAAAAAAAACCATCATACCAAAAACCATAAAACATTGTACAAAAAACTACAAATAAACAGAAAAATTTTGTGAACACAAACGAACACAAACACAAACAAAGGGTAAAAATTAATTTAACAAAAAAACCCTAAAACTAAACAAAAAAGTGAAAACTAAGCAAATTGAATTAAAAAAAAATGAAATAAAACCATACCACAAACAAAAATAAACACAAGATCTTTTAATTAAATAAAAATAAAAAAGGTGAAGTAAAAAACATTTGGTCCTCCAGAGCCGGATCATAAAGTGAAGTTTTTTAAATATTAAAAACAAATTATTAAGTGGACAGACACAGTGAAGTGAAACAAAAAAAAAAGTGCATAATAACATATAAATAAATAAATTAAATAATAAACAAACTAGATCAAAAAGTGACGTTGAAAAAAAAAGTACAACCAAAAGAAAAAGTGGAAAAAATAGAAAGTACACTGTGCTACAAAAAAGTGACATTAAACAAACAAATATATATTTTTACAAATTTACTACAAAAAAGGGACAACACACAGTGCTACAAAACAAACAGAAAATACACAGTGCTACAAAAGTGACATTAAACAGTGATACAAAGTCACATTACAAGGTGCTACAGAACTAAAAGAAATTACACAGTGCTACAAAAATAAACAAAAATTAATTAATTTTTTTATTTTTTTGAAAAAAAGGGGGTCTACACAAAAGACAAAATACTAAAATAAAAAGTGTAACAAGAAGTGACAGTACACAATACCACAAAAAAAGAGATAGTATACAGAGATATAATATCTAAATATAAAATCCAGAAGTAGTCAAAATTGTGGAAGCTGCCGGAAGACTACGAAGGACTTTGGCAATACAACAACAACAACAATAGAAACACTACAACAACAAATTTTTGAGACCCAAAGGCTAAATCAAAGTGAGTACTCAATCAAATTTCTTTTGTTGGGCATAAGGGGCTTACCGGGAGCAGGCAAATCCTCAATATTTGCATTGACCCGAAGATTCCCATATTTTGAAATCTCAAGTTGACACTTTTTAAAGTTGCTGCGTTGCCTCTAAGACACTTTTTTGAGAAAATTTCCCTTTTTGGAGCCATTTTGTGGACGGACATCTAAATATAGACTCACATAGGCGCAATAAGTACTTATAAAATAGCGCGAATTTTCATACACATAAATATATAATATTGGAAATTGCTGAACGTGCAGTTCAAAAAATAAATAAGCGCCATATTGAAAAAAACATTCTTATTGGAAAATTGGCGTCACTTGACACACATATAAACGCCATATTGAAAAAAAATCTTATTGGAAAATTGGCGTCACTTGACACACATATAAACGCCATATTGGAAAAAACATTCTTATTGGAAAATTGGCGTCGCTTGACACACATATAAACGCCATATTGGAAAAAAATCTAGCGTCACATAAAAATATATAATCGCCATATTTTTAACTTTTTTGGCGTCACAAAAATACATAAGCGAAATACATAGCAACCGTTTGGTGGACAGACGGATTTTGCAAATAATAACGTCTAGTGGACGGACATGAAACAATACTTAACCTAGAATTTTTTTCGGGATTTTTGAAAAAAAAAAAAATTAGATTGGCGTCTGTGGACAAAAAAAATCGATCCCATATATAATATAACACATTTTTATTATATTTTACAAATATCTTAAAATTTTTAAATCAAGAAAAACATTTCTGGGACCCAAAATTTATTTCTGGATTTTTTCGCAGAAATATTTTGCTGGTATTTTTTTGCTTTTTGCTAAAACAAACATTTTGAAAGAATTTGCTGAACGAAAAAAGTTAGATTTTTGTGGAAATTTTAATTGGAGTTTGACACAACAAACATTTTGCTGCGATATACAAATTTTTTGGAAAATTTTGCAAATTATTGGAATTTATCTGGGAAAAAAAAAATTTTGTGGAACTTGACCCAATTCTATCACCTTGTGATTTTAAATTAATTACCTAGCGTTTTTAGAAAATTTGTTGCTTCAAACAAATTTTCATAGCAATATTTTTGTCTCGTCAAAATTTAAAATTACTCCCGCAATTTTATGGTAATATTTTTGAGGATTCTTTGTTCGACAACCCAGCACACATTTTTTTTTCAATAGAAAATATTTTTCATTTTTGGAAATATTTATTGAAAATTTTCATTTTCTACAATTTTACTGCTGGGAAAAAACCCTCGTTGGTGGAAAATCAAAAATCTTTTGGTCGTTTTTGTAGCGTTTTTTGCCTGTACAATCCTCACCTTTACTCCTTTTGGAATAATATTGATTATTTCTGGATTTTCTTAAAATAAAATATCCCTGTGAGTGGATTTCAAGATATTTTATGACACCTTGGTATATCTTGATTGAGTTTGACTTCTCTGGACAACCCAGCAAACATTTTTAAACAAAATTATTTCGGCGTCACATACAAAGTAAAGTTTTTGGAATTTTGCAAGAACTTTCAAGTCTTTGGAACAAAACGAAATATAATTCGACCCAAACCAAAAATTGAACATTGATTTCGTTGATCAAATTGAAGAAGATAGCTTATCCTTATTTTTTAAAAATAAAAATTTGGATAAAAGTTTGAATCTTATTCCAAGTCAATCCTTTTCATTGGGTTGCCTTTCCTTTTTGCAACACAACAAAATTTCGGTAAAGGTTAATACTCAGTCATCAAGATGGATAAGACCCTAAGCGAAAAATTCGCAAACTGCGTCAACGATTTTCAGGATTATATTTCAATTTTTTCAATAACCAAACCGGATGACACGGTTCATACTTTGGAGACAACATGCATGGAGTTGGATTCTGCATGGGACCAGGTCAAAAGGGCATATTTAGACTGCCGTGATTATGTTCCAAAGGAAGGAGGAAAAACCATCGACAAAAATAAACTGAGGAAACATTATATGGATACCATGGGATCATTTAAACAGGCGCTGAGTTCAGTAAATGGACAAATTCAAAATATTTTGGATGAAAAGGCACAGGAGAAAATGAAAAGAGATTCAGAGATGTCACAGCAAGGAAAGGAAGTGGATTTTACGCCAATATCACGGCTGCCGCCATGCGACACAGACACTTTTAAAGGGGGTTATCGAGAATGGCCGACTTTCAGAGATTTATTTTCGGCAATTTACATAAACAATTCAAAATTAAGTAATGTCGAAAAGTTATTCCATTTGACTCAAAAGACAGCAGGAGAAGCACGAGAAATTATAACGCATGTTCCACTAACTAATGATGGATTTGCACTAGCGTGCAAAAATCTTACGGATCGTTATGAAAACAAAAGGATGCAAATTAATGAAGAAATTAAAACACTTTTTAATCTACCTGGTGTTTCTACAGACTCAAGTCACACTATTCAAAAACTACAACGCACTGTAAATAGCTGTATTCAAACCTTGGGGATGCTTGACGTCGATGTAAAAGGATGGGATCCGATTTTAATATACATTTGCTCAACAAAATTACCTAGAGGCTTCCTAGAAGAATTCGAGAACTCATTAAGCGATTGTAAACAAATACCAAAATGGGAACATTTTGACGATTTCTTAACAAACAAATTCAAAACCTTGGAATCTGTAGGGAATATAAAACCCTCAACATCAAAATTTGCTCAACAGAAGTAAAATAGCATCAATAAACCTAGATTTTTGAAAACATTTCAAACAAATGTCGCAAAAAATACAACCAATTTTGGAGGAAGAAACAACTTAGCACAACCTCAACAAAATAAATCACAAAATATTCAAACATGTCAAGTCTGCAAATCAAACCATTTTATCAGGGATTGCAGCGAATTTTTAAAAAAGAGTGTAAAAGACAGAATTCACACTGTGAAAACGTCACACTTATGCTACAACTGCTTGTCTTCAAACCACGGAGTAAGAGATTGCAAAAGTCGCTTTGGTTGTCGTATTTGTACTATGAGACATAATACTTTGTTACACAAGGGGTCGGAAACCCAAACCACAAACACATACCTAGCTCGAGTGGAAGCACAACCTAGTACCAGTGCTGCTGCTCTTTCAACTCACATACAGTCCACTACCAACCTAGAACCAACTACTATTACCACTTTGACCCTCCAAGATGAGCGAATTAGTGAGCAACAATCTGGAGGAACTCTACTTTTCACAGCAATAGTACAAATTGAAACCAAAGGACAACTTTACGATGCCCGAGCTCTAATAGACTCGATGCCCGAGCTCTAATAGACTCAGGATCACAATCCACTTTTATTTCTGAGAAGATGAAAAACCTCTTGAAATTACCCACAAGGAACAATCTAGTTCATATCACCGGCCTTAGTCAATTTGTTGCCGAAACATCTACGAAATCTTGCTTGTTTACTATGAGATCCAAATACGACCCTAGCTTTAAACTGGAAGTATGGGCTCCAGTTTTAAAGAATTTACCTTCAAATCTACCACCACAAAACTTAGATGAATCACAACTTCGAGATGTAACAGCATTAGAACTGGCTGACCCGAAATTTTACGTTAGTCAACCCATTGATTTACTTATTGGAATGGACATAGGACCATTAATATTCACACTTGGAACTCCGATGAGAACATTTGGATCAATTTTAACTCAAAAAACCAAATTTGGATAGATAGTTGGAGGACCCATACCGGGAAGCACTCTTCCACGAAAACAAATATCACTTCTAAATACAACATCAATAGAGAAAGTACTTACACGATTTTGGGAGGTGGAAGAGACCCCTAAAAAAGTTTTACGGTCAGAAGAAGACCAATTTTGTGAACAAAATTTTACTGAAACAACAATACGAAACAAGGATGGAAGATATGTGGTGACTCTCCCATTCAAAAAATGCGAAGAATTAGGAAATTCCCGAAACATCGCCTTAGCTCAATTCTACAGAATGGAGAAAAAACTTATGAAAACGCCCGAGATAAAAGAACAATATGATGCCTCAGTACTTGAATATTTAGAACTTGGTCATATGCGGAGGATCAATCCGGATGAAAGAGACGAAATGCCCAATTATTATCTACCACATCATGCAGTATTTAAGCCAGATCGAATCACGACAAAGTTAAGAGTCGTCTTCAATGCTTCTTGCCCATCATCAAACAAAACAAGTCTCAATGACATATTGTTTCCGGGACCCATTTTACAACAAGATTTGGTACTACAAATTCTAAAATGGAGATTTTTTAAGTATGCTTTCAACGCCGATGTTACTAAAATGTATAGGCAAATACTGTTGGATTCAACTCAAACAAAATATCAAAGAATTCTGTTTAGAAAATCTCCAACAGACCCAGTTGAAGACTATGAATTACTAACTGTAACATTTGGAGTAAATTGCTGGATAAAATCGATTGGGATGATACACTGAAACCAATCACCCATATAAATTGGCAAAACTTTATCAAAAATAGCAATGATATTAAATCTGTCAGAGTTCCAAGATGGATACAGTTTACACTAGATGCTTCTGTTGAGATTCATGGATTTTGTGACGCATCGGAGAGCGCGTATGGAGCAACGCTATATGTTCGGATTGAAAAAACTGACCATACCACACACACCTTTTTATTAGCAGCAAAGACTCGTGTAGCACCAATCAAAAAACTATCAATACCAAGTCTCGAATTATGTGGGGCAGTATTACTTTCCAAATTAGCAAAATCTATTACAAACAGTCTACAAATATCAAAATATTCAACACATTTTTGGACAGACTCTACTATCGTCTTGGCCTGGTTAAAGAAGCCTCCTTGTCATTGGAGCATCTTTGTGGGAAATAGAGTCTCGGAAATATCTGATAATGTTGGGCAAGAAAACTGGAAACATGTTGACTCTGAAAGCAACCGAGCTGACATTGCTAGTCGTGGATGTTCTCCAACTGAACTAACGACTCATGAGCTCTGGTGGCATGGACCTCAATGGCTCAAAATGCCAAAAGATCGTTGGTCATCGCAAGATATCCCAAACGACACAAATTTAGAGGCTAAAGCTGTAAAAGTTCTGACTATATTTCAAGAAAGAGATGATCCATTAAAAAATTTCTCATCATTGGCAAAGGTCTACCGATCATACGCCTATGCTCTGCGATTTTGGAAAAATACTGGCGCAAATCGGCAAAATCTTCGCTCCTCATCAATAGATCTTACCGCAGCCGAAATCCAAGATGGAAAACGATCTTGCATAATTCGTACACAAAAATTCGTTTATGCAGATGAATATAATTCACTAATGAAAAAGTCTCCAATTTCTCCATCGAGCCCTCTATTGACGTTGAACCCGTTTCTCGACTCAAAGGGTATTATTCGAGCTAATGGAAGATTACATATAGCGAACGTCATCCCATAATACTACCACACGGAACCCTTACCCTTAGCAAATTGTTGGTCGAATTCACTCATAAGATCACTTTACATGGTGGTAATCAATTGATGACCCGAGTGCTAAGATCCGAATTCTGGATATTTGGACTCAAATCTCTGGTTAAACAAACTATACGAAAATGTCGAATCTGCTTAATTCACAAGAAACAAACCCAAACTCAAATAATGGCCTCGCTGCCACCCGAACGTACTTTTCTGTCTCGACCCTTTACAAACACTGGGGTAGATTTTGCAGGACCCTTTAATATTAAAAGTTATTCAGGAAGGGCTTGCTTTATTACAAAAGGCTATGTTTGTTCGTCTGCTTCGCCACCAAGGCTATACATTTAGAACCAACTAGCGATTTATCTACATATGCCTTTCTCGCCGCTTTCTCCAGATTCATAAGTCGGTGAGGTTGTCCGTCTTGTATATTTTCCGACAACGGAACCAATTTTGTGGGAGCGGTCGATCTATTAAAGCGAGATCGATTAGCTTTCATGAAGAATATTCAAAGTAGCACAATCCAAAACAATTTCAATCAAAATCTTACTTGGAAATTTATCCCGCCTGGCGCTCCGCACATGGGCGGTTTGTGGGAGGCCGGCGTTAAATCGTTTAAAATGCATTTGCGAAAAAGTATTCCAAAAATGAATTTCACATTTGAAGAATTTACAACTATCTTAGCAAGAATTGAAGCCTGCCTTAATTCGCGACCCTTAAGTCCTGGTAGCGATGATCCAAATGACCTTTCCCCGTTAACTCCTGGTCATTTCCTAATTGGAACATCAATTCTTACTCCTGCTGAACCCGACATTTCCGACACAGATCTTAGTCTATTAAATCGTTGGAAACGACTCAAAGTTATTTCACAATACTTTTGCAATAGGTGGAAATTAGAATATCTCCACGAACTTCACAGAAGAACTAAATGGAAGCGTGAAAGGGAGAATGTCAAAGAAGGAGATTTAGTAGTCATAAAGGACGATAGGTTGGCTCCAAATGAATGGAAGTTGGGTCGAATTGCAAAAACATATCTCGGTAGCGATCAGAATACGAGGGTTGTAGACATACGGACATCAAGTGGCAACATAAGCAGACCTATCACAAAAATTGTCAAATTGTTTTCCGACTGACTAGCCGGAATCCTACTTAAAAAAGAACATAGTACTCGCCTTTGGTTTTTTTCAGATATGGCTGCCTACTTGCCCAATCAAGACTGCCGTTTAGATGATCGCAGCCGCAGTCCCAACCAATCCGCACGTCCAACAGCGAGAAGTTCTAGCAGACCCAGACGCCCAACCGAACCCATTCCCAGCAGACCGGCTCATAGACACCGCAGACTTCCCAGTTCCACATCGCCAGAAAGACGTCAACGAAGCCGCTCCGCTGAAAGATCCCGCCAACGCCAAGAACGACCCAGCTATTGGCAATATTCCTGTGGGTTGTGTCAGGAGGACCATGCCCTCAGTGCTTGCGAGAGGTTTCGCCACCAGACCCCCTTCCAGCGCTGTGAGACTGTGGAGCGTAGGGGGTACTGCAGAAATTGCCTTGCCAGAAGTCATTTGGCCCCTGACTGTCCGTCGTTCACTGGTTGCAGGAGGTGCAACAATCGGCATCATACGCTGCTACACGGGGCGTCTCAGCTGGAGGAAGTATCTCTAAACGTGGAAGTTGTAACAACACCAAACTTTGCGTGGGATTTGGTATTTGTGCCAACGGCTATGGTGCGCATCAAAGCTGACAAAATAGAGGGGTACACCATGATAAGGGCATTAATCAGCCAATCAGCGACGATGTCCAAAATATCGTATGCGGCTTTCCGTAGATTGGGCCTACAATCGCGGATTTACAAAGGGCAGCGATGTACCACCTTTACGGTTTCGCCCCGCCGCACAAACAGCCACTGGAGTCTTAGAGTTAATGCCTTGATAATCGAAGATTTGCCCAGGCGCATTTACTCGGACCCAATCCTCGAGGACCCCACAAGAAGTTTCAGAAATTGCGCCCTAACCGACCCTGATCCCCGAGGCAACAATCCCGTCGATGTGGAACTGGGTGCTGACGTTTACTCAGCCATAAGAAAAGACGAGTGCAAGGAGGCTGGAATTGGAGATGTCCTGGCCTATGATACCCAACTGGGTTACGTGTTTGCAGGTCCAATAAAAAATATGCCAAAAATATAAATAATAATATTGTATTTTAAAAAATGAATGTAAACACTTGTCATTCGGGGGCCAGAAATTTTCATAAAAGATGCTAGTTTTTTCCGCAACAGTGTTGTTTGTTACGTTACCGGTGGCTGCATAAATAACATCATAAAAAAATGATGTACATATACACACACACATGCACATATATGCAGCCACCGGTAAATTTCAATGCTGAATTCAAATAAATAAGCATCGTCACCAGCCAAAACAGGTTTGCTGTGACGATGCAAATTGGAGTTAGAGCAGTTCAAGATCGAATTTAAAAGCGCGTACGCAAGTTTCCTCCCCGAAGTGAACAGTGCCCAAAAACAAAAAAAACCCAAAGTGTTAACAAAAAACCATCATAACAAAAAACATAAAACATTGTACAAAAAACTACAAATAAACAGAAAAATTTTGTGCACACAAACATTGTACAAAAAAAGGGTAAAAATTAATTTAACAAAAAAACCCTAAAACTAAACAAAAAAGTGAAAACTAAGCAAATTGAATTAAAAAAAAAATGAAATAAAACCCTACCACAAACAAAAATAAACACAAGATCTTTTAATTAAATAAAAATAAAAAAGGTGAAGTAAAAAACAGATAGTCTGAAGATTTAGTTTTCAAAATAGATTCTGGGACGACGGATCACATGTGTAAACATGATTGGTGTTTCAATAAGTTCCAAAATTTGAATGAACTCATTACCATAAATGTTGCGAAAGACACTGAAAATCCTTTAGCTTACAAGAAAGGTGCAATCACAGGATATTGGGAAGATACACCAATCACAATAAAAGATGTCCTATATGTTAAAGGACTTCGGGAGAACTTGCAGTCTGTGCTAAAGCTAACAGAAAATTGAATATATTGCAATGCCAATTCTGCAATTTTCCTCTGTATAGAGGAGCCTAAAGCATATGACGAAATCAAGAGAGGTTCCTTTAAAGATAATTAGATTAGAACTGTGAAGGAAGAAGAGCTTGACAGTATTGAAGAAAATCCTGTTTGTGATCTTTTCCCCGCTCTGTCAACCATAAAATATTGAAGTCCAAATGGGCATATCGCATCAAAGAGGTTTCAAATGGTAATCCCGTCCGATACAAAGCCCGACTAGTAGCGAAACTGTTCCTTTAGAGCGCGGGAATTGACTATAAAGAGACCTATTCACCGGTGGCGAAACTTAGTACAGTTCCGATAAGTTAGCGGTGAGCGTTAAGAGACATTTATATTTGCACCAGCTTGATGTAAAAGCTGCATTTCTTTACGGGGAATTTAAAAAAAAGATATTTATATTGAAGTTCCTGATGGATTAAACGCTCCTTGAAACCAAGTATGTAAGTTACGAAAGTCGCTTTATGGACTCAAACAAAGCCCAAGATGCTGGAACTAAAAATTTAACAATTTCTTGCTCCAACTTGGCTTTAAGAAATCTTTAAACGATCCGTGTCCTTATACAATGTTTTAAAGAAATTCGGTTTTGTACTTGCTACTATATGTGAACGATGAATTGATTGCGGGAAATTATTTGAAAGCAATAAACAAGGTAAAATCGGATCTACGTGCATCAATTAAAATGTCGGATTTTTTTTCTGCTCCTTTCGGTTATTTTAATTTGGGCAAACCATTTTTAAACACCTTTTTGGAAATTACCAACCTAGTTGATTATCGGAGTTTTAGATTCGAGACGGTTTAATGATCTACCACAGGTGGTAGAATATATGGTTAAAATCTTCAAAATACCGAATATCGGTAGATACAGTTATTTGAGAACTATTCGAGAATGTGAATCTACATTGTCCATTTACAATCTAATAGCCTGCCTACTCACCAACTGCACATATGTGCAAAATTTAAGCCTTCTGTCTCATTTCATTGGAAGCATAACATGAGTACAACAGATAAGTGAGCAGACAATAAATTACGCTGATCAAAAATATGTATACTTTGTAGTGCCTATCTATCCACATCTTAGCCACATTGTTAAAGGGATTTCTCTCAATGTTGATATTTGGGGTTGGCAATAGATACCATCTTCTCTGATAGAAGATTTTCTACATAGCCCCACATTTTCGCATACATATGTCCCTATCTTTTTTACTGTCTTTTATTGTATTGTTTTATTGTTTAAAAGATGACACATAGCACTGTAGAAAAGGACATTATATATTCAAAATATTGCTTTCTATTCACAATTTTTCCTTGATATCATAAAATCATACTATCTTAAACTTTAACAGCAATTGCAAAAATCAATGAAATGCAACTTTTCGCTGAAACGTTTTAATCGAATATCTCAGTATCATGAGCAAAGCTTTAATTTTGTCTAGTCTTTCGCATTTTATATCTTTCTTGTAGTTCACGAAAGGTATCACCTCCTATATAACCTAACTAATGATCTAAAGAGGTCCACATTTCCACAATGATGTGGCAGCACTAGATATTTTATGAATGTTTTCTTTTCCTCCGAGACCTTTTCAGTGGCACATTGGCAATATTAGTTTCTAGATTTGTTGTGTGGTGGCTCTCAACGTGAAATAAACTCTACTTTTAAAATAAAATATATCAAGTACGCTTAGATTTATTCCTTTGCATAAAATATGAACAAAAATATTTATTTATTTATTTACAAAATATTTTATAAAGTAAAGTTACAAAATATTGAAGGGAGGCGCCGGGTAACTAACTGGTATAATATATCTTAATTAAAACATGTTAAAAAGCAGTAATTTCTGTAGCATACATTAGGAACTTCAAATACGACATCTCAAACAATTTCGGTGGGTATTTATTTATTTACAAAATATTTTATAAAGTAAAGTTACAGAATATTGAAGGGAGGCGCCGGGTAACTAACTGGTATAATATATCTTAATTAAAACATGTTAAAAAGCAGTAATTTCTGTAGCATACATTAGGAACTTCAAATACGACATCTCAAACAATTTCGGTGGGTATTGTACCTCGTCAAAATACCGAATAAATGGAGGTACCGTTATATGGGGGCTATACGAAGACGTGGACCTGTACAGACAATTTCCTGTCATAGACCGTAGCATTCATTACGAACATCACATACCAAATTTGAAAGAATTCCGGTGAATAATGTCGCTAAAATCAATACATGAGTTACAAACGAAATGACAAAGTTAATATACCCTCCATAGTATGGTGGGGGGTATAAAAAGCATATAAATAAACAACATATATAAATCTAAGAATTAAGAATATTAATATATTTCTTAAAGTTTAAAAAATAAACATTTATTGTGAAAACAAGGATATATAATACAAACACATTTGAAATTTTACATAACTTCATTTGTTTCTAAGTTCATAAATAAATTGAAAGTTAAAGTGTTTGTATATTCAAAAATAATATAATTCGTAAATAACAAGTAAAAAAGAGTAAGTTCGGCCGGGCCGAACTTTGAATACCCTCCACCATTTGGAACGAATTAGAAAATTTTCAAAAAAAAAAAAAATCCATTACAAAATCTTTTAAAATATATACGATATTGTGGACCTATAAAGACAAATCTATGGCTGGGTGTAAAGTACTCACAAGGAACAAGGGACTCCTTTATCAAAAAATATAGAAATGAGTGCAACAAACAACAAAACACCAACTCCACAACAATATTTCTATACACATATATAGAAAAAAGAACATATATAGAAAATTTTCTGCTAAAGAGGTTGTTATGTATGACGTGTTTCAAATACTAAATTTGAAAAAGTTTGCCAAGAATTATAAAATATAAAATATCAAGAAGTGCCGTTATATGGCGACTATAGGAAAAAGTTTATCTTGGTATTGTAATAGTGAAAAGTCGGGGAATTTGTTTTTGGCTGCCAGATATTAACAACACTTTTATAAAAAAATAAATAGCCACCGCGTTTATTATAAGAGGTTATGGGCGATATCAAGCAAAAGTAAATCCACAGAATCTTGCAAGTTTTCGAGTGCGGAGGTATCTGAATTCTTTGGATTTACTGGATACCATAGAGAAAACTCCACCAGCCGAACAAAACTTAACTAACTCAGCCCAATAGCAGATGATTTTTTGGAATGTGTTTCCGACAAGAAAACAGCGAAGGAGATGTGGTCTGCTCTGCAAAATACATTTGCTAAGAAGTCTGTTACGAGTCAGACATTGGAAAGAAAATAATTAGCCGTCCGGTCCTGGTGATGATTTGCGAAAACATTTATCATTTTTTGATGAGCTTTCACGAAAATGAAAAATGTCTGGGGCAAATGTGGATGAAAGAGATGCCGTTGCTCAATATTTTTTTGTTTTTTTTTTGTTTTTTTTTTTTTTTTTTGTTCTGGTTGGCGCGTTGGAAAGCCTTATTTATCGAAATAGCTAAGCAAAGGCTATTGGAAGATAATGCGTTTATTGGTGTGAAGAAGTCGAACAAATTCCGTGGTGTGTGTTTCCGCAGTAAGAAAACGGGCCATAAACAAAAGAATTGCCGCGTTCGTTTGGAAAATGAAAAAGCTAATGCAGCGTCAGCTTCGAAGCCAATTTTTCATGTCAGCGGTCCCTAATGATAAGATAATTAAAGATAGTCTGAAGATTTAGTTTTCAAAATAGATTCTGGGACGACGGATCACATGTGTAAACATGATTGGTGTTTCAATAAGTTCCAAAATTTGAATGAACCCATTACCATAAATGTTGCGAAAGACACTGAAAATCCTTTAGCTTACAAGAAAGGTGCAATCACAGGAAGATACACCAATCACAATAAAAGATGTCCTATATGTTAAAGGACTTCGGGAGAACTTGCAGTCTGTGCTAAAGCTAACAGAAAATTGAATATATTGCAATGCCAATTCTGCAATTTTCCTCTGTATAGAGGAGCCTAAAGCATATGACGAAATCAAGAGAGGTTCCTTTAAAGATAATTAGATTAGAACTGTGAAGGAAAAACAGCTTGACAGTATTGAAGAAAATCCTGTTTGTGATCTTTTCCCCGCTCTGTCAACCATAAAATATTGAAGTCCAAATGGGCATATCGCATCAAAGAGGTTTCAAATGGTAATCCCGTCCGATACAAAGCCCGACTAGTAGCGAAACTGTTCCTTTAGAGCGCGGGAATTGACTATAAAGAGACCTATTCACCGGTGGCGAAACTTAGTACAGTTCCGATAAGTTAGCGGTGAGCGTTAAGAGACATTTATATTTGCACCAGCTTGCTGTAAAAGCTGCATTTCTTTACGGCGAATTAAAAAAAAGATATTTATATTGAAGTTCCTGATGGATTAAACGCTCCTTGAAACCAAGTATGTAAGTTACGAAAGTCGCTTTATGGACTCAAACAAAGCCCAAGATGCTGGAACTAAACATTTAACAATTTCTTGCTCCAACTTTAAGCTTTAAGAAATCTTTAAACGATCCGTGTCCTTATACAATGTTTTAAAGAAATTCGGTTTTGTACTTGCTACTATATGTGAACGATGAATTGATTGCGGGAAATGATTTGAAAGCAATAAACGAGGTAAAATCGGATCTACGTGCATCAATTAAAATGTTGGGTTTTTTTTCTGCTCCTTTCGGTTATTTTAATTTGGGCAAGCCATTTTTAAACACCTTTTTGGAAATTACCAACCTAGTTGATTATCGGAGTTTTAGATTCGAGACGGTTTAATGATCTACCACAGGTGGTAGAATATATGGTTAAAATCTTCAAAATACCGAATATCGGTAGATACAGTTATTTGAGAACTATTCGAGAATGTGAATCTACATTGTCCATTTACAATCTAATAGCC